AAGAAGAGCGAGCGAGTGGGTGAATGAAGTCAGCGACCTCTCTGAGCACTAGCAGTGTTGGGAAGGTTACTTTGGAAATGTATACAGATTACAAATTAACTGATTACTTTTTGATTACTTTTCTAAATTTCTAAGGAATGTTTTCAAATGTTAATCAGTTGTGACCTGTGCTGGCAAAATAAGTCACAATGAGCACATTTTCAAAAATTAAATTTTACATTCTCCATTAAAAGTGACATCAAAGTGATGTACTGTATGATTTGTTGAAATCGGACGAAAGATGACTGAGCTACACCTGTTTGAAGTCGATTTAAATTAAAATGATTTCAAGTTTTCTGAAGGTTCCAAAGCAAAATCACCCAGCAACATTACATCTTTTCCCCCACGTCTTTTCTTAATCATTACTAGATTAATAATCACAAGATAGCTATTTTTATTGTATCTTTGTTGTTATAAATAAGAACCGATGCAAAGAACAAATATAAGGAAGAAACAAGTGTATAGTGTAATATAATGCTACATATCCAATGTTTTTCCCAAACAGTTCCCCAAACGTTCACTTGAGATATAACAGATTATGTTCGTGTGATTACTTAAATGTACTTAGCCTACTGTAAATCTGTGTATATGAGTATCGGGATAGAGCGCCATCTGTGTCGTCTTTATGCAGAAAACTAACAAATAAAGATACTTTTAGATGTTTAATTAGTATTTGGAGCATTGGGATCACTAGATAAAGCCTTAATTAACACATTTTTGTGAAAACCTGAAATTTGAACAAAATCAAAATGTTTTATTTATTTATTTATTTTTTTGTCTGTAGCTCAAAATTAGACCGTGCGCATTCCGACTTTAATTTTAAAGCACAGCCACCACAAAATCAGACATCTTTTTTTAATTATTAGATATTGTTATGAGGTTAAATACAGATTTAGAATCAAAATATATAGTTTAATAGCGAAAATACTTTTTTTTAAATCTAATCTGTGCATAGCTATGACAAGAAACATCTAACAATGCCTTGGAAAAAAACAGTTAATCTTTAAAAAATAAAGCATAAACATAAACCCAAGTAGGAAATAAAACCGTTATCAAATAAGCATGTGTCCTAAACTCCTGAAACATTGGTGTCTCACGTTTTAAAGCAGTCACTGCAATTTGGGAATGAATCAATCAAATCTGTATGTGTGTGACAATATTCAGATGTGACCCCCTTTGTAATCGTTAACATTTTCGTAAATAACTGTAATTTAATTACATTACATTTTTTTTTTACAGTTACATTTATTTTGTAATTAAATTATGTAATTACATGTAACTACTGTAGTTACTCTCCAACACTGAGCACTAGTTTGTGAAGAAGAGCAGATGAGGGTAAATCATCACATCACGGCTTCCATTTTTAACTGTCCTGAAAACAAACAAGAAATAAGTGCATCATGACCAGCCTCTCACTCACACGCACATTCATCTGACAAACACGGAAAGCGATGAGCGGTGAGCTTGAGGGCTGTGAATGTGAGGAGGTCAAATAAAGCAATAAGCTGCTGCTGGAGGATGTGCGTTATAGTGATTGTATCATGGGGAGTATAGTGCTGTAAAACCCTATTAACCGTGGTAAAGTCACTGAAATGCATGGGCTTGGTTGGCTTATTGCTTTCATACAGCAGTATGATAGACGGAACCAATTGTTTCTTACCTTAACAGTAACACTTTAGAATAGGGAACACATAATATGCATGCCTAAGCAACTAGTTAATAGTGATAACTGGTCCTTAAAAAAAACATGTTTTAGCTAGTTCATGAACTTTATAAATATAGAATGAACAGTGAAAGGAATCCACATTTATTTATGAGATATAATAACGGTCTTTAACTAAAGTGCCTCATCCAATCAGAACTTATTTAACTATTATGAAGCCTCCTAAAACATATCCTTGCAGTATACCACGTTTCCTGTGTTTAAATGTGTTTGCATTAAAGAAAAATAAAATACAATTTTATTTTACTTTACATCATTTTAGATACTATTTAGATTTAGATTTTATTTTTATATTTTCCATTTTCATTTTAGTCTTAGTTTTAATATTTTGTTTTCAATATATATATATATATATATAAATTATATTTCAGTTAACTATTAGTAACAACTTTTCTTTTTTATGGTTTTAGTTTTTGTTATCTATAATAATCCTTGCTACTGTATATATTTGTAGTGTGAAATGAAAATAAACCAAAACTGCAAATAGGATACTTTTCAAATGTAAAAAAGTTCTGATATCTTCTAATACTCCTATGCTTTGCACAGATAGTTTATTCATATTTATTTACCAGACAGTTCATCCTTAAAAATGGCTAAGTATATATTCAGTGATAAATTTACAAAATGATTTCCAAACATTCTTATAAGTGAACAGATGAAGATTCTTCCACAGGTCCTCTGTGTGGCCTCTGTGTTGCTCTATTGTGTGTTTCCAGAGTCTTCACTGCACCACTGTGCCACCTTGTGGAGAGGAGAATCACAGGTTTCCAAAGCAAGAAGAAGTTGGCTTCATATGCCACTTACATGTGTTTTAAAATAGCAGTGATAAGCGTGCAGTTCCTGTCCAGTAGTGAACTCCGGCTGTGACAGACGAAACCGTCTGACCAAGAAACCGGATGAGGGTTAGAACGCCTCTATCGACCGGCTGGGTCCCTCAAGTTTTGGTTTATGAGAAAAAAATAAATCCATATCCTCACACACAAACAGAGACACAGCGGCCGTATCTCAGCGAGCCAGCCAAATACTGACTCGTCTAATAAAAAGATACTTGATCTTGAAGTATCAAATAACTGGGGTGTGATTGCTCATTGCAGTGTAAACAGAAGTGGTCAAATAAACCCCACGAGCCGCTTTCTTCTTCCCGAACACTTCTTTATTCCCTCACCCTCTCTCTGTAGTACCACATTACCCGAGTGATTTCCTCTGGAGGTACACCTGTGAAAGCACGAGCGTGCGGCCCTGCTAGAAAAATATTGCGTTCTATAAAACTTCTCCATAATCGGGCCAGGTGCAATAAATCCAGGACAGAAATATTAAGTGGGGCTGATATTTCCTTGGCCTCTCTCCAGCTCGACTAGTAAAAACCGGCAGTCAGAATGACCTTAGCGTTAAAGAAATATTATCGCGGATGACGACGGCAGTCAAACGCCACTCATCTCTGTCAACGATTTTTACCAATGCACTCCGTTATCGATGTTCATTAGACACCAAATTACGCTAAACAGGGCTGTGAAGGTGTTTAAGAGAGTTTGCAATGATCTACGACTTTTAAAGGCATATCGCAAGGACATCTTTCTGTGCAATGCAACTGCTCCTCCAAGCCTACACGCTTCTACATGGATCTGTGAGAATAATGCTACATCAGCCTCCACCGACACAGACCCACACACACACACACACACACACACTGACCTTACACACACACACACAGCGCTTTATGTATAAGCGAATTCAAGCACCCGAAGCATTACAGATAATCTTATTTCACAGATACGCATAGCACATTGCCTTTGGGACACATTTGCTTCTGTAAACGGAGAATTCACCAATCACACTCTTCACAGCTGTAGATCAATAGCCCTTAATTAAGCCACATCTAAATGCATAATAAACTCATAACTAGATTTGAATTTCCTGAAGGGAATAACAGCCTTTGCGAGGGAGCAAGCGAGTATGTTAGGTAAGTTTCTATAGATAAGTTTAGGTTTTTCAGGCTTTTCTCATTGCTGGATGGATGGTAAAACAGATGCAAGAAAGAAATGACCAATCAGAATCCTTTATGCAAATTGATGTGAGGGAAGTGACCAATCAGAATGCATATGCAAATACGATGAGTTCACATTTCTAGACTGAAATTATCTGCAAAACAGTTTGAATTGAGTCATTACACAAAGTGGTTTGAGTTTAATTAGTTGCGGAAATTTATGGAGAAGAAAAAATACAAAGAAATAAGAGCAAAGTCAATACAGTGCACTGAAAACACACAGCTAAACATATGTTTGAAGCCAAGTGTGCACATTGTATTAGTGTGCTGAGTTTATGAAGGGGAAATGTTTTATTGATCAAAGAGGATGATACAAAAGGGAATATTTTACTCATTTTTATGATTTACTTTAATAATTTTCTCAATTTGTCGGAGCCTGTGAGTGATGAACGGACATAACATTACAGTAAACCTCCCATCAGGGGTCCGAATCAAGCCTGAGATTTATTTACAAAAGATTTGCTAATCAGTCTTTTGTTTTTCAGTAAAAATATCTGGTAGCACTTTAGATTAGGGAGCACTATTAACTAGTTGCGTATTAGCATGTGCATTAATAGCATATTGGCTGTTTATTAGTACTTATAAAGCACATGCATGACTATATTGTAAATCCCATAACCCTAAACATATCTACTACAGCAACTGCTTTACTGTCAGTTAGCAGTGAATTTAAATCTTAGTGAATAAGTGTTCCTTAATCTAAAGTGGTACCAAATATTTAAATATCTTTAAAACAAGAAATACATTCTTAAGACATAAAATTGTGTAAGATAATATACCTTGAATATATCTTTATATATCATATCATCATATACTTCTTAGATGTGTGCTTAAAAGAAAAATTAAAATAGAAAATTCATAGTGGAAAACAAGTCTTTGTATCTAGTGCAATTTTGCAACATTCGATGATGATACAATGACATTTTCATGAAAAACTAGAACTTTTTATATTGGGTGAAGGGTTATAGGCACCCATAAATAAAATGGAGGGCTATGAATAAACAGAAGAAGACACATAAAAGAGATACAGTGTGACGCTCGCTACTGTCTCTTTAAACCTCATAGTCCCTCCCCCCTCAGAGCCAGAGAGAGAGCCGTCTTCACTAGCAGCCAAAGCCTGTCCATAAACTCCAGCCTCTTCCCCCTCCATCTGGCAGGAGGGACCGAGAGAGAGAGAGAGAGAGGGGGGATCAGAGTGCGCGTGGATCCACAGGGTTTCGAATTGGAGGCAAAGGCAGCATCCCTCCCTCAGTCAGAGGCTGTCGTCACGGCGACAGGAGGTGTCTGCTCCACGGCCAAGAGACGGAATGCGAGGCGGAAACGGTCTCCGCAGCAACAAGAGCATCCGAGGACTTCCAGGATTCAAAGCAGGAGTGGAGAAGCTGAGGCTGCCGGGGGCTCGAAAAGAGGGGAACCGGGGCCAGTCTTTCATCCACCACCTCCTCCCTCACTCCTCCTCCTCCTCCTCCGCTGCTGCTTCACTTTCTCTCTGAAGGACAGCTCTGAATTAACCCTCCTTCTGACGGTGGGAGAGTGTGGCTGGACGGACGCTGAAAGGAAAGACATAAAAGAGTGGGATTGTGTGTGGGAACGGGAGAGAGAGAAGTAGGGGTGATTGGGAGGTAGACGGCATGTGTGATGGTGACTGACGCCGCAACAAAACGGGAAGGATGATCCGAGCTCAGCAAAGCCGAAAACTGTATTTCCGTCGTTCCTCAGGAGAGAGGAAAGGCAAACCTGCACGCACTTTCTACCACTGACCAGGGGAGAGGTGAGAGCGAGAAAGCGTGTCAGAGACCACTGCCTTATGAAGTGTATTTCCACGGGGGCTGGTGGGATTCAATTTGGTGAGCATGTTTGTATTTGTATCTGTTCTTCTTGGTCTCTCTTTGCTGTCTGTAATTGATTTTGTGTAGTAAACCGAAGCTTGAACATCAAGATATGTGTTTGAGAAAATTGAACACGGGGGAAAGAAAAAGTGATAGGAAGAGAGACGTTTCCAGATAAACAGAGAAATTGCTCTCCTTCCTGTCTTTCCAGGTGTTGTGTCTTTCCAGATTGTCTCTTCTGGCTGCGCCTTGAAGGGTCAACTTCTCCTCTTTTATTCTCTTCCAATTCTTCCTGAAGCAAAAGACATGGAATTGACCTTCTCTGATGGCTTTTGAAGAAAGGCTAACAACTGGATTTCACCAGTAATCGAAGGAAACTAGATTGAGATCCGTCTTTATCCAGCCATTTAATGAAATGGGTGAGAAATGTCTCTCTGACCCGGAGGAAAGGATGCGTCATTCCGTCTGACGCCCCTTGGGGGATTACGTGTGAAACGTTCATCATAACACTTATTGTAAGTGTAGTTGCAATTTTGGCAATCGCTCTGAAAGCATCACGTCCGTTGCCTTGGTTTAATGTTTCAGACACACACAAATGAGCGAGGACAAACACATATATACACGCACATAAAATCGCTCTGGCTTTCTGGCTAAATTTACACCCTCTCTCTCTCCTTTTCTTCCAGATCCAGTTCGAGGACAACTAAAGTTGGAATATTTCACCTTTTGGTTTGACTTTATTTGACTCCGAACACAAGAAAAAAGACAAATGTTGCAGATCTAAAACAAAGAAGCACTTAGCAAGAAAAGCATCTTTGGGAGTTTCCTTTTTCTTCCTGGATTGGATTTTACGTGGATCAGTCGCTCGTGCAACTCTCCTTGCCATGTCTTCATGGAAGAGAAGAATTTTGCGTCATAGACAACCGCTTTCCATCCAAAGTTACACCTAAGGACTCGCACAGGCACACTAAACACATGCTGGGGTGAAATGAGCCACGCTTCTTGCGCATTTCGCTTCTTCATCCTGGAGTTCAGTGTGTGTTCTTGGATCTAACAGCCTAACCGTCCTTCAATGATTCCAGCACCTTCTGTTCCATCCGCGTCTGTCCCAAGATGCCCCGCAGTACACAGCAAGAGGAGGCTTGACCCCAGACCCAGCGAGGTCTCTCGGCTGCCCAGGCGTATTTAAGATGTTGAACCCTTCCCACGTGGCCCGAGCCCCAGATCGGATCAGTAGCACTGCGGCTCCCAGAGGCCCCAGACATGGATCGTGGCTCGGCTCGCCCCTGCCCTCAGCGCTCCGCACCCCGGCCCGTGAGCAGCCTGTGAAGGATGTCCCAGAGCGGAGCTCCAGCCCGGGAACCCTCTGAGACCCCCAGTCAGAGAGAACAGATCCGCAGCCACATGAAGATGGTGATCAAGCAGCTGGAAGGAATCCTCAAGGAGCTGAAAGATGTGGCACATGAACTGCGGGAGGTAAGGTTTGCTTGCCTTCTACTGTCGATTTGGTTTGGACTGCAGGTGACTGGTTTCTCCGGCAGGAGATAAATAATGAATGTTTTCCAGTTTGGACTGGCAGGTTGAAGCAGGTGGGGAGTCAATGTAACCACATTACACTAAGAAACCAAAGCGAGCGGCCTTAACCTTAAAATTTGACCGCCTTGGGAACCAAAAGAGAGGGGTTTATCTCTTTTATCCATAGGCGAGGTGCTCTTTTCCAGTGCACGGATGCCAAATGATGGTGTGAATGGATACAGAGTGAGAAAAATAGAAAGGGAACACAAAAGTGAGAGGCAGAGAAGAAGGGAAAGAGGTGTGCAAGGTAGGAGTCGAGCTTGGCAATGCAATAGTTATGTAAGCACTTTGTTATCGGCTGGATTCCTACTTTATCGTACCAACTGCCATGGTTACAAGATGAAAAGATTCCACTGTGTGTGTGTGTTCCTTGCTCTGTGTTTGGGAGTGAGCTGACGGCATAGAAAAAAAGACAAGTGTGTGTCTGTGTCAATGTCACATTTCAGCTGAAAAGATTCATGTGCAGAAACGGGCCAGAAATTGTTGAAAAGTGAACAAGTCTGCGCATGCACGAGAGAAAATAATGAATTCTTTAGTTTCTCTCCCTCTCCATATGGACATTAAATATTTCAGTTCACTCTGGCTAGCACACCAGCTAAAATTCACCCTTCCCGAACCATCCGTCATCCTTCGAGCTCCCCGGGCACCGGCATCTGTTCCCCTCCAGATTAGCCCATCCAGCTCACACCTCCAGACCGTGTGGCGTGGAGAACTACCCCCTCGAGTCTCTCACTCATGCCCCAACGTGATTGATGATGTGGGAATAATGCTCGCTCTGGCTATTTATAAACACCAGGACTTGGCGTAGCCCGGGTAAATGACTCTGCGCCCACTCTACATATGGATCGGGCTAAAAATAAAGTCAAAAACTCCGAGACGGGTATGCATTCTGAACGGAGAGAGTGTGTGTTGAAGAATATGAGATGGCTGTAGAGCTTTACATTAAGGAGTATTGATGATCAGTCCAGGGGAAGATGTGTAGATGGCGAATGTCGGATAAAATCTTTAATTCTTTTGGCTGTTTTAGAGGACTAACTGATGGTTGACACTCAATGCTGAATGATACTTCAGGGATGCGCAATAATGGGGTCACATCACACGTCACAAGACTGCAGACTCTGCCTGAGTGTATGTGTGTGTGTGTGTGTGAGAGGTTTTGCCAACATTGCGAGGACTGAATGTCCCCATAAGGACTGTAAAACCTGAAGTCACATGCATTTGGGGATATCCAATGGTCCTTAAGAGGAAAATGGCTTAGTAAACATACAAAATAACATCTTAAATAACATATTCAAATGTAGAAAAGTTTCTAGGGGGTAGAAAATAACACTAGCTCTGTATAAAAACAGTAGATGTTAAAGGAAAGTCCCCACCATGATAGAAAAACAAACTTGTGTGTGTTTCTTGTACTGACACACCAGCAAGTACAGGTAGTTTTGCTAGCAGCGACATTTGCTTTTCTTCCCGTTAGATCAAAACGGTTACAGTTAAACCATCTCTACCCCACATAGGCTACCCCACATATGTCTGTGTGTTTGAGTATATGTGTGTTTATACCCTTTAACCCTGTTTGACTTCAAAGTACTGCAAGTTTGTGCTGAGATGGAAAACACTTATGTAACTCTACCAGTAACTTACATAAAACGGCACAAGCAGCTCTGAATTAGTCATCAGTTCTGTCACTCTGCAGGAATTTAGCATCTCGCACGAGTCTTAAGTCTTTTCGCTTCTCCTCCCATCCAACTCAAATTCAACCCTCCAAGTTTCTGCTGCTGCACTTTTTAGTTAATGCTAACCGCCGCAGGCTAAGATCATCCTTGCAAACAAACGCTGAGGGAAATGTTGTCATTCTCTTTCCTCTGACGTTCGAGTAGGAGACGTAGTGTATAGAAAAGGAATGGTTTACGCAGCCCGGGTTGCATTAAAAATAAAGGCAGCAATGCATTTTGCCTTTTTTTTTTTTGGAGGGAGCAGCACTGGTGCACTAGATGAAATAAGACATGACTGAAGGAAAAAGTTTCCCTAAATTAGAGCCAAACTTTACAGCTAGTGATCACCGTTTGACATTTTGATAATAGCTAATAACTTTGATTAAAAAGGTCATGCGAGTTTGGAGTGGCATGGTGGGCAGATGATGACTGAACTGGACGTGCGCCAGTGGATGATTGAAACGTTGTTTTCTCACAATAATTGTGCGGTTAAATATTAGGTACAATAAGGCAATATATGTTAACGTCATAACAAGAACGAACAATACATTTGCAGAATTTATTAATGTAGGTCAGTGTTATTTTAGTATCATTGAGATACAATTATAGTTTTTATGAATATTTTGAATCTATTTTAAATTTTTATTTAAATTTTAGTTACACTTTTAGTAATTTAGTTATGCTTTTGCAATTTTTTTTTGTTTTTGCTCTTTTATAGGTGTGTATGTGTAGTTTTATTGATTTATTTAATTTAATTTAATTTTTTTTAATTTTGGCTATTTAAGTATATCAAATTAAACTAAATTGAACTGAGAAATGTTGCTGACATAGCCAAAATAAAAAGTGTTTTTATATTTTATTTCAGTTAACATTTATATTAATTTCAAGTGGTTTTAGTTTCGGTTTTAGTTTTAATTAACTTGTACAACCCTGATCTAGGTTAACTTTCATTTCTAAATATACTCATGCATTTTTTACATTTCTAGTTGAATAAATTAAAAAGTAGGTGTTATAAATTAACATTATCAACAATTTTATATATTGATGCTAACCTAAATTAATAAATGCTTTTAATATGTAGTATATTTATTTAATTCACATGCAAAAACCATCGATAACATAAACACTCCCATTACGGTTAAACGCCCCAGATGCATAACGGGCCCACACAAGATGTCTATGGATTGTCAGAAAATACAAGTGCTTGAAATTAAGTGTCAGAAGAGAGTGAAAAAAGTGCCATTCTTTCTAGGAATGAGAGAGAGAGAGGAAGTAGACGGAGACAGAAAGACACAATACGGAGAGGAGACTGTGTCTCACAGCATGTAATGAGAAGGAGGAGTGTCATTTGGACAAAGAGTACTTATCTTTGCTCCAGTGCAGTGTCTGCAGCTCGGTTAAGTGTCTGTGCCTGAGCTCAGTAATTTGAGATATTGGTTTGTCACACAGAAGCAGAGGGAGTGATGCAACGGCAAACATGGCTTTCTGAAAGTTGAGATTTCAGACCAAACGGCTCGGCCTCTTCTAATGTCCTCACTCAAATAATAAAGAGACGACTCATTAAAGGAATCGTTTGCCCCAAAATGGACATTCTGTCATCATTCATTCACACTGGAGTCGCTCAAAGCTCGATATTCTTTTTTTTTTTTTTTTCAAACACAAAGTAGGGATTTTCGAGAATGCACTGTTTTTCTTTTTCAATTACGATGAATTTGGACTGAAGCTCTCAAGCTTCAAAAAGGATGCAAAATCGAAATCATCTCTGTCTCCAAGGCTTTCATAGAATTATCTAACTCTACAGACTGCTTTGAATCATATTCATTGAATTAAACTTTTTCACTGCCATCATTCAAATCCACGTTAAGTTTCCTCACTATTTTCTTTAACCGATACACTTCTTTATTTGAAAAACGCCCTTCAGCCATAAAACTTTTAGTTTTTTCCAAAAACTGTCCTACATCTGGGAAATACTCATTAACTAAAACTCCTCTCTTATTTTTAGTTGACTTAAGGAACAGTTTAATGTCATCTACATCATCCTTTTCAATGGTCATCCTTTTTGAATGACTCGACGCGTGAGTGAGCTCAAGAACCGCACACCTGCATCCGCCATGCTTCCCCTACACCCCAAACCACCCCCTACAAAAGCAAAAACCCCAAAAAGAAAAAAAGATCCAAAACTACGACCAGAGAGAGATAGAGAGAGAGAGAGAGAGAGAGAGTGATGAGTGATGGGAAGAGATACAGCAGCAGTGATGAAGTGTGTGATGAGACGCCGTCTCACGCTCACAGACAGACAGAGAGAGTGTGACAGCATCAGTCGGGTCGCAGAGGAAACCACAGGGGGCTTAAACCCCGGATCAAAGCCTGCCGCGCTCTCGCTGGGACTGTTTACTCTGTCTGCCCCGACACAGCTTCCTTCTGACAGGACCACCGTATCCACTAGAGGCGCTGTGAGCAGACAGATTCCTTCAGATTCATCAGATCTGATGCTGGATTCTTCAGAAGACGTGTTTAGATTGATTCAGAACCAAAAGCATATGCCCCAAACCCTAACTTCACTCGATGTATAATGCTACTGACTATATAATGATTATAAATTCCATTAGTTGACAGGACAACAAAAGATTATGGTATACCCAAACTTGCTCTCTGAATTTTTTGCTTTTTCGTCACTTAGTGTAGTTGTGCATCTTAAATATCAACTTAATCGCAAACTTGAGATGTTTCCCAAAAGGTGGTTCGCAAGCGCCTGGTGATTTTTAAGTTCATGAGAAACTAACAAAAAAAATTAAACAAAATGTAATATTAAAATAAATCAATGGGGCTGCATTAGATTTTTTTCTTCAAAAAAAATAATAAAGAATTTTTGATGCAATAAATATGGTATAATTTAAGTGTTCATCCCTCTTTCACAAACATCTACATCTCTGTCTGTTTTAAAGTGTTAGTGTATATAATGAGTTGCATTTTTTTTAGGGGTTATTCAAATGAAAATTAATGTGTTGATCAGTAGTTGATGCAACGTTGGAACACTCCTTAAACCTGAAATGACTTCTGTAAATCCAGTGGTCAAATGCTGACTGGACTTGTCTGAATGCCCACACAACTGGAAGACTTTCTGAGTGTATATAAGAGGTTGGCTAAATAAAGTATGACTAATTTATTGCTATTGTGGGAAAAAATATATAA